TTGGCTCACAGAAATTGCGTTAATGTAATCCCCGCATGGCATATGCTCCCGTTTTTTTTCCCGCTGACTCCCCAGTTTAGTTGTTTTTTGTTTTTTTTTTTGATTTTTTTTTTTTTTTTTTTGGATTGTCGCTTGGCTGGCGCCGTCGCTGGCTTTTATTTTTTGGGTGGACTTGCCCCGTGCTGTGCTTTATCCTTGAGCAGCAGCAAGCCCTCGACTTACTGGCTGGCTGGACTGCCCGCCGGCTGATCTCTGCGCGGTATTTTAACTTAATCAACAGAGTAAATAACACGTCCACTGCTATATTTGGATATGTATATCTTCTTCATTTTTTGGCTTAGTTACGTTTTATGAAGTCGCAGCATTTTGTGGATTATAAGTTATGACACTAGCTTAATGTTAATCACTAACCATTTCTGTGGGTATGGCAGACTTTGTTTATAAATTTGCAAAAATAGTGTTAATACAATAAAGGTCGATTTGTCAATATTGGTTTAGGAAATATGGAATGTTTAATTCCATAAAATTTTGTGAATCTCTTTATTTAATATATTTAACTCTCTCTGAATCTCTTCACCTCTTTTTTAACTATTTTCTGCATTGCTCTACATTGCTCTATATAAATACACTTTCGCAAAAAGCCTACAACATTGTGCCTTTAAAACAAGGAAGTCAAATTAAATTTTAAAATATTTCTTAACCTTTTAAGGCAGTCCAATAAAGTTTCTAATCAGCTTAAAAATGCAAAGTGAAAATTTATTATTTAATCAAAGTAAATCAAAATTTTTAACTCATTCAATGAAAATGTTTAATAACCAGCTTAAGACAAGCGACAGCAATTTAAATTAAATATTTATTTGACATTATTATTTATTGAACTGAACAATTGCGTAAGGATTAGCCCAGTTTGGCTAAGAAATTCATTACAAACATACGAATTGTTGGCTCAAAAAATAAAGAAGAAAAGTGAAAAAAAGCGACAAGTCGTGAGTAGCTTAGCTTCTGCCTTGGCTTGGCTTCGCTGTTCTTCCGGCTGATTGCAGCAGTCAGAGCTGGACTGCGCGCAGAGCAATTAATGTGAAAATTTCAAAAGAAAAACCAAATATATATGTAGAGAGAAAGAGAGAGAGAGAGGGAGGGGGAAAGAGTGAGCTGAAAAAAAGCTGCTTCAGCGGAAAAACACAAACAGCTAAAGAAATCTGAGCGCAAAGTCCCCAGCCAACTGAAGTGATTTTCGCACTAATTAACTGCACTTAGTTGACACATACCAATCTATTCACACACACTCACACACAGATACGCAAACACACACATGCACAGCGCTGTTGGCATAATCAGAAGCAGTGCAGCATTTTAATTGGTTTCCAGCGCTGCCAATATAAAGTCCCACATGTGCAATCGGAATTTCTAGAGAAATTATAGAAAGTAAATGAAATGTGGGCGTGTATGAGGAGTGTGTGTGCGCGCGTGTGTGTGTGTTTGTGCTTCTAATGCTGTGGGTGGGCACTTTGGCTGCAAGTTAATAATTACGTGGCGCCGTTGACAGCTTTACAGTGGCCTCAAACTCGGTGCAAAATAGTCCCCAGCCATGGAACCAGTTGCAAGTTTTTATGTTTATCGTTGGCATTGCATGTCAAAGGCAATGCACTCTCTGGCTGTTGGCAAGGCTTTACACAATTTGAATGCCCGCTAATGAGGCACAAGCTCCAGTTAATAACCCACCCGGCTATACATGGCAGCCTTTCTATATTTAGAGTTGCTTTCTAACTACTTGCGAGGGAGACGAGAACATCAAAGCTAAATATGGATAAATAAATTGTTTAGATAAAAAACATTTGAAGTTCACCTCTCAACTGTGAAAAACACTAAGAAAAGGCCGTTCATAAATATTGTATAATTGTAATTATTCTGTAATCTTCATTTGTTTATATATATGTATATCTACTTATCAAATATTCAGATGAGTATTTATTATTTTATACTAAAACTACTAAAAATAGCTATCTTACTGGGTATCTCAGACTCCATCATTTCTTAAACAAATATATTTGTATTAAATATCCCCTGTTTATTTGTTAGCTAAGCATCCACATCACACCGCTCAATTTTGAGCAAGAACGTAATAAACATTAATGTTACGATCCAAATGAGACACAATCGACTCTGAGAGCCAAGTAAAACAAGAAAACGAGAAAAATAAATATATATACATACATATATCTGCGAAAAGAAAAACAAAATACACCTAGAGAAATAACAAGCAACTGGAAACTGAAAATGCAGTACACGGCGGTAAAAGTAAACAGCAAGTGCTATAAAAATGCGATGCTTCGAGCCAGGGCAGATCATATGAGCATTACCAGAGTGGAGCAGAGCAGAGCGGCGCCAAGTGCATAAAGTCCAAGTGCAGGAACCGGCCAAGGATTGGATGACTACTGGGCTAAAGGAATTGGCTTGGCCCAAGTTTCACGAAACGAGTCAACAACTGCGGCATTGCACACACACACACGCTAGCACTCACACAGTTGAACACACGTTAGAACTCATAAAGGACATGCCAGGTTGGTATGGCAGAGGAGCTGAGCACATGATACTACAGGAAGGACACGACGGCACAAGACCGTACAGGACAGGACAAGCCAAACGAAACCAATTGAAGAAATGTTGCTGACACGTGAAGACGACAGCGACGAAATTAGTTAGCACTCGAGCTGCATTTGGCCCTGGTCCAGTAGCAGCAGCAGGACACACACACACACACACACACACACAGAGAGATACACAGATACGCTGGCACATGGACAATAGGCAGAGGCAGGAGAAACGCCACGTTGTGAGATTACAACACCTGCGGGCAAAAGTCGACTCGAATCTTAGCTGCTGCTGCTACTACTACTCCTGCTACTGATGCTACTGTAGTAGTTGCTCTTGTTTGAATACCCTAGACTCGTGGAATATTTCCTATGAAACCCTATGAAACTTATATATTATAGTCATATACCTACAATATTTGGGATGAATTCTTGATGAACTGTGCTATTTATACTTGGGAACAACTATTATGTGCACGTATTGCCCATTTAGACACTAATTTATTAAAGAAGATCAGACCTGTTCGCTCCATCCGTTTTAGGACTAACCATATAACAGAGCGATCTTATCACACATCGATTTGTCTCAGCTTAGGTTAATTTATGGCTACTGGTGTTTCATATAGAAGAAACGTAAAAAGTGTTTGCGGAGGTCAATCAGAAAATGATTTTTCATTTCGCAGTTTTTAAATAACTTGCCGAAATTATTAACAGGTAAAGACATATCTACTAAAAGTAAAACCATGGTATTTCTCATCAATAAGACTTTATGAATATAGATGATTATGAATATGAGTAGGAATAATAAATATGTGAATATTTGTAATTATATTGCAGTATAAAATCATGTTTGAAAATGTATTTGTAATAGCATCGCATTCTACATACTATGAACAAATTAACGTTTGCAAATGTATTTGTAGTATCGCATTCTATGTATATATTATATAGCTTTGTCATATATGTCATTGGAATGGCTTGTCAAGGCAGAGCACCGTATACAGGGTATTACAGAAGCCACTACTCTTGGGCAGTGCTTGCTTTTACTCTGTGCTCCTTTTGTATCCTGGTGCTGCAGCAATTAAATAGCTTCGAGCACACTGAACTCAATTGCAGCAATTTCAATAACTGTTAAGAACACTCAAAGGTACAAGGCTTTGGATAGCACAGACATACAGACAGTCAGACAATCTAGCTGATGTCTGATAATCTGTCATGCAGCAAGGCAGCCAAGAGTTCATTCTTCTAAATTTCAACAGCACAACCTTTTAACACTTATTTGTGGCACTTGACCAAATTTACTTTTCTTTTTTTGGCACTTACCCAGTTATTTTGATTGGAGCTTGCAATGGCCGAAAGGGAACACGAAATTTAAAAAAAATTTTTGATTTGGTCTATTGCGAATTTT